TTGAGTATGTAGAGGAAACTGGAAAAGAAGAAAACGAATTAGTGGAAGAAACAAAAGCAGCAGCAGAGAAGAGAAATGTGGACCGTGTGAATGTAAATTTTACAGGATCCAGTTTACAGTTGACAAACAACGAGAAACATGAAAATATTGAAGATGATGACAGTTCAAATTTGAAAAAGATCAACTTTCAGCAAGTTGAAGAAATTATAGAGCAACATGTTTCAGTCGAACCAAACCCGGAGAGTACAGAAAAAGAAGCAAGGGACTTGGAGACGGTAACAGAGGCTTTCAATGAAAAAGAAAGCATAACCAGTTTCAAACCCATTGAAGAGGAAATCAGAGAAATGGCCTTTAACGAAGGGAAAAAAGAATCAGATCAGCCCTCTAATCCAGCCAGTCAAGAAAAGGGTCCTGATGCAGATCGGTCATCCGCTGCTGGTGCGACAGACAGCACAGGAGATGGCTTTACATTACCAGAGTCAGAAAGTCCATCAATACAGAATGATGAGTTAAAGATCGGAAAAAGTGTAAATCTCGATATGAAGGAGATATCTGTCTTACCAGCAACAGACATATCAAGTATACATGAAACTGAACCTGGAAAAGAAGAGAAGCTCAAAAAGGACTCTACTACTGCAGTTGATGAAAAAGGTCAAGGTACAGTAGAATCAAGTTTGATTATGAGATCTTTGTCTCAGGTAGAAAATGATATCCAAGATAAGAACTTAGAGACACAAAGAATACCTGACCAGCAAGTTGAGCCAACTATAGAAGAAGCTTCAGTTGAGGAAAGATCAAAGAGTACTGGCCAAGAAGCGAGTGACTTGCAGAAAAACGGGAAAGAAAAAGTGATGGATGAAAACACTGATGTAGACCCCAACAACATTGAAGCTACCTCAGGCAAAAAGGAATTGGCTTCAATTGATATGATTGATCCTGCAGTAGATAACTTGAAGGAAGATGAGACTTTGGCAGGTGAAGAGAAGTGTCCTGAAGCCATCAAACAAAGTGACAGAGTTGGACATGAAGATGGTAACAAAGAGAAAGCCCTTTATGATAGCACCATAGATGGGCTGACATTAACAGCATCAGAAAATCCTTACACTCAGAATGATGAAGAAGCAAAGTTAGAAATCAGTGAAAATGAAAAGGTAGAGACAGATGAGCTACCTATCAAACAGCCAGCAGTTGCATCAAGTACACATGAAACAGGAACTGAAGAAAGTGAGAAGCTCAAAGAGGTCTCTAGTATAACAAGCAATGAGAAAGAAAAATACAAAGTTGAATCAAATATACCAACAAGGTCCATGTCTCAAGTTGAAGACAAGAAACAAGATATGAAAGACTTAGATGCTTCTGCTGTCAAAGAAACAGAGGAGATATGCTTGCAAGGAGAAAAGAGTCTTGACATCATCCACTCTATACCTGAAATCTCGACAATTTATCAGGAGACCAAAGAAGAACCTGAAGATCAAAGGGAAGTTCTTAAGGAAATTGACCAAGCAAATTCCACTTCAAGCAGGAAAGATAGAGAAGATGAAGATACTGAGCAAAAAATCAAACACTCATTAGAGAACCAGGATAATGTCCAGACGGCAAGCAACGAGCTTCCTGCGACAGAGCCCTCACAGGAGAAAAAGGATGACAAGAGATCTGCTTTTGTAATGGATAAAGAAAACATCAATAGTACACAGATTTTTGATAATGTAGAACACAGCCAAAGACATACTGAAAAAGAGAACATCCCTGGAAATGAGAAGCTTAAAAATTCAAGTATGGTTTCTGAGGAAATTGCTGATGCAGCTGCGTCAGACGAAGATGCCAAAAAGATTACATGCATCATAGAGGACACACCAACAAAAATCCACGAAGAAAGCATCGAAGGGAAAGGGAAGGAAGATGCTTCAGCCTTCATAGATGCAGTTGATGGACATACAACTCTGGAAGATGAGGTTCTAAAATTAAAAGTTCATTTTTAAACTTATATCATTGTTTTACTGTTATGTTCCATTCAAGTTTCCATTTTTTACACTTACATATTTTTTTAGTATAAAAAATATATGAATTCAGAAAATAAGAACTACAACAGTTTTCTACAGCTAAATATGGCCTAGATATTTCCATTTCAGCATTTTTGTGCTCTTTTGTTCTTTCTTAATTTGAATTAAGATTAAAAAAAAGTTGGTAGGTATTCCTATAGTTGCCAAGTTCTGAAATTGCTCAACATTTCTTGTAGAACTTCCCACAGATTGAGAAGACTGAAATAATAGAAGTGGTGCAAAAAGGAGAAGAACCAGATGAAGTTGCTAACTCTGAACCAGGAGAAGTTCATGATGCAAATGAAGTCTCCCAAATAGAGGAAAAGCACGTAAGAGATATGTCTGAAGAATGCCACAGAGAAATTAGCGGAATCTCAGAGCAGACATATACAGAAAGTGAAGTAGCAAAGGGATTAAACTTCGAAAAAATTGCAATTGAAATGGAAAAACCCCAAGAGACTTACGGATTGAACTCGAAAGAAAAATCAGGGAGCAAGGAAGCTGAGGAGAGCATAGAAGAGACACAGAAGGAAGAAGCTTGTAATACAGAGATCGATTCAATCACAAAAGGAAGTAAGTGAAACTTGACAAATCTATTGCAGTTGTTACACAAGCTAGCAGGAAATAAACACATTTAATAACCGCAAAATAAACTTAAATTCAAGAAATGTAAAAACTTGCTGTCAGTAGGATATATATAAGTAGCCAATAATTCAAGCAAATATGTAATGTATGTATTTGTCAATTTAAGTGAAACTAATAGCTCTTAAACTTCTGGTGCAGCAGAAAACACCGAAAGATGTGAAGAGAACTTTCAGGTCAACAGTCATCTAGAGGAAATGCCAGTAGTGAGCAGCAAAGAAACGAGTTACAAAGCTGATGATATTGATGAGACTAACAGTGAAGAAAAGGAGGTTTTGTACACTTTCGTATATAAACTTTATTGTTGAAAGTTTAGTTTTCTTTTTCATAGTGGTAAAGGCTCATCTGTTAATACAGGGGCAAGATGGAAACAAGAGTGTTGGCAATCTGGAGATCACAATGGAGCCATCACATGAACTTATCCAAGAAGAAAAAGATGAGACACCCAAAAACAAAGAAAACGATACAGAAACACCAGAAGGTGTAATCAAGGAAAATGAAGAAGATGAAAGAGAAACAGAGAAGTCCAAAATAGAGGTTAGCTTGACCAAAGACTTGAGGCCTCTTGTTTTTTTTTAATTGGGAGTTTTTTTCATGGTCCTTTTGGTTAGCTTCTTCTAACAAAATTTCTGCATTTATTTAGAAGATTGAGACAGGGGAAACAAGTGAGAGCATTTCAAATGAGACTAATCAAACTGTTGAAAGCTCAAAGAGTACTGACCTAGAAGCAAGTGACTTGCAAAAGAATGAGAAAGAAGAGGAAGCGATCAAGGAAAATACAGATACTGCACTCAACAAACAAGATCTCAGTATTTCTGAAGCTTTCTCAGGCACCGAAGAGCCTTCAACTCATACACATGATCTTGATGTAGACAGCTTGAAGGAAGATGATGGAGCAGTAACAGAGGACCCTGATAAAAATGAAAATATTGTCAATGCCAAACCAACAGGAGATGAAGCTGGTAAAATACCTTTTAAAGAAGTTGAAGAGAAAGAATCAGATTCTTCAATTTTGGCAGGCGAAGAAAGTGGTCCTGAAGCCATAAAACATAGTGAAAAGATGGGAGATGAAGAAGATAACGAAAAGAAAACCATTAATGATAGCACTGGAGATGGCTTGACCTCAACATCATCAGAAACTCCAGACACTCACAATGGTGAAAAAGCAAAGTTAGAAATCAGTAATAAGGTAGAGCTAGATGAGCTATCTGTCAGACAGGCAGTAGCTGTGTCAAGTACACATGAAACTGGACCTGAAGAAGGTGAGAAGTTCATAGAGGTCTCTTGTACTGCAAATAGCGAGAAGGAACAATATGAAATGGAATCAAGTGTAGCAACAATATCTCTGTCTCAAGTTGAAGCTGGGAAGGAAGAGATGAACAATTTAGATGTTTCTGTTGTCAAAGATACAGAGGAGATATGCCTGCAAGAAGAGAAGATGCTTGACATCGTCCGTTCTATACCTGAAATCTCAGTAGTTGATCAAGATAGTAAAGAAGTTGAACAAATTCTTAAGGGAATTGACCAAACCAATTTCACTTCAAGTGGAAAAGAGAGAAACAAAGAAGGTACCGAACAAAACATTAAAGACTCATTTGAGAAGCAGATCAGCATGCAGACAGTAGGCAATGAACTCCCTATAACAGAGGCATCAGAGGAGAAAAAGTATGATGGAAGATCCACTGCCGTAATGGTTGAAGAAAACATTTACAGCGAACAGATTACTGATGTTGTAGAACATAGAGATATAGATACTGAAAGCCACAACAAATTTCCTGAAAATGAGAAGCTTGAAATATCTTCGAGTACGATTTCTGAGGAAACTCCTGACGTGGCTGCTTCAAGTGAAGATGTCAAAAAGGGTACATGCATCATAGAGGAGACAATAACTGAAATTCATGAAGAAAGCATTGAAGGGAAAGAGAAGAAAGCTATTTCCGCCTTCCCAGATGCAGTTGATGAACATAAACTTCTGGATGAGAAGGTTCTGACATGAAAATATTGCCAAATATTTCGGCCTTGTTTAGTATAACTTTTGAACTTTTATTTTTAAACTTATATATATTATGCTCAAAAACATTTATCGTTGTTGAAAATCAAAACAAGATATTGGAAAATGATGGAGAAAATATGTCGTGCATTTGAAAAGAACAAAGTGTTATTTTCAAATCCATGCTATACTTTCATTATCATTTTCTGAAGATTTCTTTTTATTTTCAACAAAGATGCAAATTTTTTGTGAACAAACATATATATTTAGAAAATAAAAGCTCAGAGTTATTTTCTACAATAAAACAGGACCTTCCACTTCCACATTTTTGTGTTCTTTCTTTCTTTTTCCTTTCAATTTGACTTTACATGACATAAGTCTGTTACAATGTCTAGTTGTGAAAAATTTTCAAATTGTGCTATCCTTTGTGCAGAACTCCCCACTGACTGAGAAGAATGAAACAAGAGTGCTAACAAAAGGAGAAAAACCAGATGAAGTCACTTATTCTCAACCAGAAGTTCAGGAAGCAAATGTAGTCTCCCAGGAATATGGAAAGCACATAGATGACACATCTGATGAATGTCAGATCAAAGATAGGAGAATGTCAGAGAAGACACTAACAGAAAGTGAAGTAGACTCAGAAACAATTGCAATGGAAATAGAAAAACCCCAAGAGACTAGTAAATGGAACTCAGAAGAAAAATCAGAGAACAAGGAAGCTGAGGTGAACATAGAAGTGACACAGAAGGAGGAAGAAGCTTGTGATGCAGAGACTCAGATAATCCCAACAGAGAGTAAGTAGTTTCAGACTAGCCAAATTTCTTCTAGTTGTTATACAAGATAGTAGGAAATAAATTCAACATTTAACAAATGCAAATATGTGAATCGAAATTCAGTAACTGTAAAGACTTCTTTATAATAGAAACGCAGGCGCAAGATGAAAACAAGAGCACTGGCAATCTGCAAGTCAAAATGGAGAAATCACATGAATCAATCAAGGCAGAAGTAGATAAGATATATGAAAAAATTGAAAACAACGAAGAAACACCAAAAGATCTAATAAAGGAGAATCGAGAAGATGAAAAGGAAATAGAGAAGTTGAAAATCGAGGTTAGCTTGACAACAGACTAAGGGCTGTTTTTTCTTTTTTATCAAAATTTTGTTCGTGATCCTACTTCTTGACTGCAAAATTAACATGTTTGCATTTATTTAAAAGACTGAGACAGTGGAAATAAGTGAAACAAGTAAGAGCACGGCACACGAGATAAATCAAACTGTTGAAAGCCTTGAAGAAACACTTTGTACATCTGTTGGAAAGGAGGAGGAAAGTTTACAAACTCAATCTGAGAACCAAAAAGAGGGTTTTCAAATGGAGAAAAACAAGAGCTCTTCTACCATACTGGCTGAAGAAGAAAGCACCTTGATTGGACTGGTTGAGCCCAAAGAAGATAACAAAATTAAGACATCAAGACATGAAGAAGATTCAAAGCAGATTCACTTTGGAAGTGAAGGAGGACAACAATCACCAGATGTGATGGTTGTAGCGATTCAGACAAATGTCGAGCAAATTCCCAGCCTAAAGGAACAGGGAAACAGAGAAGAGAATACAAAAAATGAAGAACTAGAAGAGGTCTGCTTCTTGTCCACAAGAATAATTGAATTTCAATATTCGGTAGATGATTTATCTTCTTAGTATATACTCCGTCAATTTTCATGCAGGTGTATGAAGGTTGTAAGGTAATTGGCAAAGAGGAAGACACAGGAAAACCATTAATGAAGGAACACAGTAACACAGACACCTCATCTAAATCTACTGAAAATGAAACAACTGAGAGCTCGGAAGACTATAAAAAGGAAGAAGAGATGTCTGGAAAAGAGGTTAGCATAAATGTTTCTGGCTCTAAAAAAATAATATCAAGTTTCTTTCAGTTTAAGCTGTCTCTTAGTATCATTTCCATTTCTGTCTCTTAGTATCATTTCCATTCAAGTTAAATAGAACCTTGACTGCTTATACAGCCACATGAAGAACATGAAGGGACTGGTATAGATAAGGATGCAGAAGAACAAATGTCAGAGGAAAGCATAAGAAAGGATGAATCCACAGTGCTCAAAGAAGTCAAGAAAGTAGAACAGAACACTGAATATGAAACAACTGCCGCGAAGCCACCCAAACAAGAGGTAAGCTGGATTTTAAGATGCATCTAATCATCTCCAAAACTCTTCAATTATTCTTTAATTTAATTTTGAACAATCTCTTTATACAGAAAATGGATGAGGGTATGGACAACTTTGAGGTATCTGTGAGAGAAACAGACCAAGAGGACTTCTTGAAAATGGAAACTGACGAAACAGAACTCAACAAACAGGTCAGCTAGACATGAATATTATAGCTTTGACAATTGGTATTAAGCTCATGCAAGCAATAAAATAGGGATTGGTACCATAGAACTCTAGACATCACTAAGGAAATGTTAGCTAAATTTGTAACAAAGGTAGGTTCTCGTTTTGACTGTGTCATGAATTAGCAGGAAGAATAAAACAAGTCTGTTAGTTAAGTTAGCGTCATTTGAACTGCTTTGCATTTTTCTTTTTGTCTTGTTGTTTATGCGGCAGAAGCCATTATGTCCGACCTGCAGGCATACAGAAGAATTGTATGACGCCAGCTAGCGCCAGTGCCTATATATTCCCATACCGTGTACCAGGAAAACCTAATAAGAAATATCTAGAATCATTTCCTATTCCTATAATCTCCTTCGTTCTCTTTTCTTCTCCTTCATCACCCTCTTCTTCTCTATCCCTTCTTCTCTTCCTTCTTCTCCAGGCCTTCCGCTCTTCCTCTTTACATGATTGTCACCAGGCCAGTCAGGCCCACTCATGAGCCGGTGGTCTGACAAACTGATGGAAGTTTAACACTACCAATGACTGCTGCCTGTTTGAAATTTTCATTCTGTTTGTTGCTTCATCTATTACTGAGTCAAGTTTCTTGTCACATGTGCTTGAAGGCATTTGAGACCATGGCTTCAAGTATGAGCACCAAAGCCACAAAATAGAAGAACATACTGTACTAGACCTCTCTCCCTCAGCAGCTGGAGGAGAAAAAACCATGATCGAAAGCTCAACAGAAGAATAAAGTGTTAAAAAGAGTATGTAATTAGGTTGAAGGGCATTATGGTAAAATACACCTTATTTAATGAATGTAACTAATGGTCTATTCAACCATTCTTCAGAGAAAGTTACAGGACAAAGTTAGATGAAGAGGTCACGTAACAAATAAACCTGAATTGGACTTAAATAAACTGAAATGCAAAACTTGTTAGTTGATAACTTATAACATCTCTCTAACAGGTCAGTAGCCCAGACTTAGAGTTACTGGACAAGACTGAGGAAACAGGTCTTATAGAGGAGACCTTAAAGAGCAGGCAACAGCCCAGTGATGACCCCTATCTTCCAGATATTGCAAATGCACCAGAAGAAACAACAGAAGAACTTAATGGAGACAATATCAAAAACAACTCCTTCGTGCCAGAGCTTTCTCAAAGGGACACTATAGCAGAAACTTCAGTACAAGAAGACACTACCACAACCTATTTTCAGTCTGCAGTCGCTACTACCACTACCAATTTTGAGTCTGCAGTTGTTGCAATGGTAACAGAAGAAAAAGACTCAAAAGATACTGAAACAGAATTCAAAAAGCAGGTGGAAAGTAGTGGTCAGCCTGTTGAAGAGAAGTGTCAAGCAATAGTGGGAACCAAAAGGTCCATATTCAGTAATATCAACTTGAGAGATGACACTGGTAATTTAGATGAGAAACAAAAGATAGAGATTCCACCCGTTGTAGATGATGCTCGAGAGAGTACAGAGTGTGAATTGCAATTAGAAATTCCTAATTCAGGAACAGAAAGTCAAAAAGAGGTGATAACCAGTGAGAACCCCTTGAAAGAATACTCTATAGTACGATCAGAGGAACAGGAGCCCCTGCAGTCTGAATCAGAGATAGGTGAAATTGGGGAATCAGGCTATAGTACTCGGGATAAAGAAGGTAAAAAGGAGACACAAGAGGAAAAAGATCCGGAAGTGGAGGGAATCATCTTACCTGAAGAGGTTGACAATTAGTGTATCATATTTCCTCATTTATTTTTATTTTTTTGTGTTATATTGACATCATCCTGGTTAAACAGGTAGGCGAAGGAGTTCCTACAGCAGATGAAGATGAAAATATCAAAGAACAAGTGGTGGAGAACAAAAGTCACACGGATGAACTTCATACAGCCTCAACTAGAGATGAAACAAATGATGAGGTTTGCTTAACAAGCGGGCAGAAATACTATAATTTATTTCCTGAAAAGAATTACTTATCATGAGTCATTTATTTATTAAACTATTCATCAAACAGGTGAAAGAACAATGCCCTGAGTACAGTGTTGAAGCGGCAGAATCCAATGAACAAGAAACCAAAGTCGCAGAGGTTGAAGAAGATCCAACCAAGGACAGAGAAACATCCATTACAAAGGAGTCAAAAAATGAAGTACAGGACAAAGGTCCTGAGACCAAACCAGAAGAGAAATCAGAAGAAAAGGTTGAAAATAAACAGGAAACACAAGATTTTTACAATAGAAGTGATGCTGCAACTGTGGAAACAGCAACAGCAGAGACAAGTCCAGAGGAAGCTCTGATAGGTATCAAGGTTCTGGATGGATTAAATATTTGCTCAGATGAGACTAATCCAGAAACAACAAATACTGAGACAAGTGAACTGACCGAACTGAGTAAGGAAGTCGAAATTGAAAAACCCCTCTACAAGTTAGCATCTGAATCACCAACTGATGATCCTGAGACTGTGGAGACAGAGATGGTGACTATTTACAATCAAAATGCCCATGAAGCTGAGGAAACCAAAATTGCTGCTGAAGTGGTTTACCCCTCCAAAGAACTGAACACTGGAGAAACTGATGGAACACAGACAAGCCCAACAGTGATCAGGCCAGACCAATTACCAACCAATTATGATGAATATGTGAAGGAAGCAACTACTAGCCTGGAAAATCCAGATGTAGATGAGCTCGTGAGAACCAAGTTAGTTGCTGATACAGTGAATGAGTTCAAGGATCAGGTCATTGGGGAAAGCTCAGTGGTACAAAAGCTGGACGTTGATGATGATATAGAAGTGGAAGATTCCAAAACAGTATTTCACCATGAACATGAAGGTGGTGAAACTGATGCCCACGCTCTTTCAACGGAAAAATCAGCAGAGTGTATTGAAAATCCGTCCTCTAAACTGCCTTTAGAGGATGAGGAATTGGAGAGAACTATAACTATAGTTTCCAAAAAGGAAGAAGAGAAACCAATGGAAGTGGAAATTCCAGAAAATGTAGGTCAAGCAGCTCCTTCAGATGAAAAGACAAGTGAAAAGATATGTTTAGAAAAGGAACAAACAAGAGAGCTAGGAACAGTTGATGAAGAAAAAAGTGCTGCCAATCAGAATCTTGCAGCAGAGCCATCAGAAGAGATATGCTCGCAAGAGGAACAGACAGAAGAGGTACGCTTGCCAAAGGAACAGGCCAAAAAGCTTACTGAAGTTAATGAAGAAAGTCCTTCCAGTCAGATGCTCTCTGTAGAAATACCAGATAAGCAAGTTGAGAGACCATACTCTGCATTACCTTCTGAGAAACAGGAGCAGAGAACAGCAACTGAAGTAGAGAACATAGAAGATAAGAAAGCAAAGGAAGTAGAGATGGCAGAGGATGAACATGCAGAAGGTTTTGGCACTTCAAAGACAATACCAGACATACACCTGCAAGAGGGAGAGCAGAAAGAAATTGAAGTTTCTAAAACAGACATAAATACTGCTGATCAGACTCTCCCAGCAGGGACACTAGAGCATCAACTTCAGACTCCATCTTCTGCATCACCTTCCGATGAACAACAGCTGAAAACTAGAACTATACCTAATGAAATAGAAACGGAGAAAATAGAAGAAGTAAATTTGCCAGAAAATGAGACTCAAGATAATTCTTACAAGGCAGAGTCGACAAAAGAGATACTCTTGCAAAATGTCGAGGTTAAATTCCTTGAAGCTGACAAAGAAGATGAAAGTACAGATGGAAAGGCTCCTCCAGAGAAAAAATTAGAAGTGCAACTTCAAACTCCATCCTCCACATTGCCTCCTGTGGAACAAGGACAGAAACCTACAACCAAAGTTGAGAAGATAGAAGAAGAGGAAAAGAGCGAAGGCAATGAAAACCATCAAGCTATTGTCAGTTTGAAGACAACAGAAGAGTTTTCTCTGCAAGAAGAAGCCAGAGATCTTGAAGGTGCTAATAAAAATGAAATTGCTGGTGATAAGTATCTCCAAGCAGAGAAATCAGAGGAATCAAATATGCCAGAAAATGTCAGTCTAAATGATTCTTTTGTTGCAAAGGTGGCAGAAGAGATCTTCTTGCAAAAGGAGGAGCTCAAGGATCTTCAAACTGTTAAAGAAGATGAAAGCACAGACAAAGAGGCTCTCCAAGAAGAAACATCAGATATGAAACTTCAGAATGCACCCTCACCATCACCTACTAAGGAAGGGGAAAGCGAAATTGAGAGGACAGGAAGTGGTGAAAGTAAAGAACAAAGAATGGTAGAAAATAAGAGCCATCAAGTTCTTGAGTTCTCTGTGAAAAAAGAAGAGGTCGCAGATCTTGGAGCTGCTAAAGAAAATGAATGTGCTGCTGAGAACACTCTCCTAGAAGAGACATCTGCTGAAGCACATATGCCAACAAATGAAGGTCTAATAGATTCTTTTGTTTCAAACACAACAAATGAAACACTCTTGCAAATGAAAGAGCTCAAGGATCTTGAAGCTGTTAAAGACGATGAAAGTGCAGCGAAGCCTGAACAGTCTCTCCCAGAGGAAGCACCAGACGTGCAACTTCAAACTCCATCATCCACATTGTCAAAGAAGGAACAGGAGCAGGAAATGACCAAGACCGAGAAAATAGAAGAAGAAATACTGGAAAACGAGAGTCAACAAGTTCCTGTGGCTCCAAAGACAACAGAAGAGTTTTCCTTGCAAAAAGAAGAGGCAAAAAATCTCCGAGCTGCTGATGAGGCTCACCAGTTAGAGAAATCTGAGGAAGCAAATAAGCCAAAAAAAGAGGGTCTAGTAGATTCTTCCATTGCAAAGGCAAGAGAAGAAGCAATCTTGCAAAAGGAAGAGCTCAAGGATCTTGAAGTTGTTAAAGAAGATGAAAATACAGCAGAACAAACTCGCCCAGATGAAACACCGAAAATGCAACTTCGGATTTTATCCTCCACATTAGGGAAAAAGAAAATAGAAGCTGAAGTTCTTGGAACTCCTAATGAAAATGAAATTGCTGCTGATAAGGCTCTCCAAACAGAGAAATTGGATGAACAAAATATGACCGAAAAAGAGTTAGTAGTAGATTCTTCCATTGCACAGGGAACGGAAGAGATACTCTTGCAAAAAGAAGAACTTGAGGATCTTGAAGCTGCTAAAGAAGATGAAAGAACAGAACAGGCTCCCCCAGAGGAAACATCAGACCTGCAACTTCAAGCTCCATCCTCCACATCACCTCAAAAGGAGAAAGAGCAAGAAACAATCAAAATTGAGAAACTACTGGAGGAAAAGAATGAAGAAGAAAAGCTAGAAAATAAGAGTCATCAAGATCTTGTGACTGTGGAGACAAGAAAAGTGTTCTCCCAGCAAAAAGAAGAGACCACAGACCTCGAAGTAACCGATGATGCTCTCCAGGCAGAAACAAAGGAAGCAAATATACCAGAGAATAAAGATCTACTAGATTCTTTTGTAGCAAAGGAAACAGAGAAGAAACTTTTGGAACGAGAAGAGCTCAAGCACCCCGAATCCGCTAGAGAAGATGAAAGTACAGTCAAACAGGTTATCCTAGAGGAAGCATCAGAGCTGCAACTTCAGACCCCATCTTCTTCATCAGCTTCCATGGAACAGGAGCAGAAAACTACAACTGTAGTTAAGCAAAGAGAAGGAGAGGAAAGAAAGTCAGAAGATATGCTAGAGACTGAGAATCATCAAGTTCCAGTGAGTGCAAAGACAATAACAGAGTTCTTCCTGCAAAAAGAGGTCACGGATTTAGGAGCTGCTGGTGAAATCGAGGGTGCAGCTGATGATGCTTCTCAAACAGAGAAATCTGATATTGCAAACAAGCCAGAGATAGGGGTTCTACTAAATTCTTTTATCACAAAGGAAACAGAAGAGATACTCTTCCAAAAGGAAGATCTCACAGATCTTGAATCTGCTAAAGAAGATGAAAGCAAAACATTAGCCAGGAAATGTGCAGCAGAACAAACTCTCACAGAAGAACCATCAGACATGCAACTTCAGACTCCACCCTCTACAATAACTCTGGAAGGACAGGAGCAGAAAACTAAACCAGAAGTAGAGAAGATAAAAGAAGAGGGGAAGAAGGAAGAAGGAATTATAGAAAATAAGAGTGATCAAGCTGCTGTGAAGACAACAGAAGGTACCTCTCTGCCAAAAGCAGAGGCCACAGATCTTGGAGTTGCTGATAAGGTCCTAAAAGAAGAAAAATCTAAGGAAGCAAATAGGTTAAAAAATGGAAGTTCAGAAGATTCTTTCATCACAAATGCAACGGAGAAGATAATCTTGCAAAAGGAAGAAGCCATGGATCTTGGTACTGATAAAATAGATGAAAGTATCAAAAAACAGGCTCTCCCAGAAGAAATGCTAGACATACAACTTGAAATTCTGGCCTCAGTATTGCCTCCAAAGGACCAGGAGAAGGAAACCATTACTGAAGTTGAGAGGATAGAAAAAGACAAAGGAAAAGAAGAAGAAATACTGGGAGGTGAGAGTCGTGAACTTTCTATTGCCGTGGAGACAAGAGAAGAGCTTTATCTGCAAAAGGAACAGCAAACATATCCCGGACCTGTTGAGGAAATCAAAAGCTATGCTAGTCAGGCTGTCATAGCAGGGCAATCAGAAAAGCAGGTTCAGACTCCAGCATCTGCATTGCCTTCTGGGGAACAGCAACAAGGACTTTTAAAGTACAACCAAGAATATAGAAGAAACTATACCAATGAAAGAAGAAATGGTAAGAAATGAACCTCAAGAAGATCCTTTTGCTGCAAGCACAACAGAAAAGATATGTGGGCACGAGGAAGAGCCCACAGAGCTTGAAGTTGCTACAGAAGAGTCCAGAGAGCTTAATATCTCCATCTCAAGCATTGAAGTCAGCAAAGACATACATGAGAGTCCATCTGAAGTACACGAGGAAAAAGAAAGGACCCAAGATGGTGATTCAAAATTACAGGTTGAGGAGAGTGAAAAAGAAACAAACTATTTTGCTTCTCCATTAGAAAGTGACAAGACAAGGGAACTACCAAGAGAACTTGAGAAACCTTCCCATCTCGAAGTTGAACCAAGCAAAAAGGTTGTTGAGTTTGAGTCATCAGAAAATGCTGAAATCGAGGAAAACCAAAATGGGGCACCAACAACTGATTTGAAGCCTAAAGCAAATAAGAGTGAGATGACAACTGAAGCAAATGAATCCATACAGAAAGAACTTTCAAGTGAAAAGGTAGGAGAGAATAAGAAATCCTCGTATAATTTCACATGATATTTTTTTCTCGCTACTTCTTTTTCTTGTTTTCAATGCAATTATTTACACAGTTGAAAACTTGGAATTAATTGTTAAAACATAGCAGATCATGGAAAAATCGGAAGTTGAAGAAACAAAGAAAGAGAGCTGCCATGAAGAACTGAGCACCGAAGAATACCTAAGAGAGAAGGTAAATAGCACAGCTAAAAACCAGAGTAAAGAAGGATGAATTACACTTCTATGATTTTTTTTCCCATTTATGTATCTAAAATGAAGTTTTTATCTGTAAAGAAGCTATCTGTGGAAGCTAAAGAGATCAGTGCAAGCAAGGAACTGGAAAAACTAATTCTTCCAGGAGATACAGTTATCAGAAATGTAGAGGAAGTTTCAACTGAAGAAAAATTTCCAGATGTAACAAAGGATGCAGCAAACAGGACTGACCATGAAGATCACAAAGATGAAACAAACTTTGAAAATGCAATGACAAAGGACACAAGTGCAGGAGAAGAGGTAAGATTATACATAAATGTCCTCAACTTTTCACTAAAATACAACATTTTATTAAGGAGAAGAAGAAAAGTTAGGTCATGCCCAGTTTGGTTCGTTTAGCATCCAATTCCTACTTTTATTCATAGTAGTTCAACATGCATCAGTCCAAAACTTTTTGTGTTTTGAGTTACCACCTACTCCTCCTTGAATTCCATAGAGGTAGGAGTTCAATTTAAATTTTAAGAAGCTAAAATTAGATTCCTACCCTCAGAAAAAATCATGTTGTAGTTATGAACATCAACATAATATTGAAATAAACCATGCATCAAATAATATTTACAAGTTTTTACTGGTGGGCATCTTACAGAAAGCTGAAACCAAACCAAACAAAGCTGAAAGTGAAGTGGAAAGACTGGAAGATTCAACAGAAACTATGACTTCCCTATCTGACCTTCTTCAGAAGTCCATAAAAGAAACATCAGAAGAAGCTAAACACGAGAGTGAACAGGAAGAACCAATATCCAGGGAAGAAGAAACACAAACTAAAGAATCAGAAACCACCGAGGTTGGAGAAGCAAAAACAGATGAAGAAGAAGAAGGAGATGAGTCCAAAAAGGCAGATTCTGGCTCTGATGGTCCTGTAATTGTAGAAATTTCAAGAGACATGGAGAATAAGGTTGTACATAAGAAATCGCATGGTATACTTTCAGGTGTTGGGTCAAAGGTCAAGCATTCTATTTCAAAGGTGAAGAAAGCCATTACTGGCAAGTCTTCTCACCCCAAGCATCAGCGAAATGAAGGAAAAGAAGACATTTCACCCAGTAGCTAGGTACAGTAGACAGCTAATTTGAATGTTAAAATTTTTGTGTAACAGTTTGATTTCTTCATGTGTTGTAAAAATGGCTTGCAGGGTGGCATGTATTTTAAGTGGGTGGCGCATTTGATTTTGTGCAGTTTGAATAATCTCAGTTTTTATGTATATGATGGAATTTTAATTCCGTGATTGTACAAAATATTAAGAAGTTAAGTATGCAGAATACATTCTGCAAACACACATAAACAAGTGAATTTATCAGAGGCACCACCTTTTGGCTACCTGAAAATTTTGTCTTAACTCCAAACAAATACATGTCTACTGAAATATTTGAAACACATACCCAGAACTTACAAAGCCAAAATTATAAATACAAATTAAGGAAATCAAGTAAAACAAATGTACTTTCCTCAGTATTTCAAACTAAGAATACATTGCCAGTTGCATCACTTTAGAACCTATTTCTAAATGTTGCAATTTTAGGACCTAGCTGTCACTTTTTAGTAAAATACACTGAAAATTGACTCCGCATACTTAGTATATCTAGCTAACAGTAATATAATTGACTTCATTGTTGATGTTCTAGCTGATAATATATAATGCATTTAGAAGTGTAGACTTCATACATTGAGCTAATACTGAATTAATTAGCCTTATTACTAATTTTCTAGTAATAATTAATGTGTTTGAGTAGTGTGTAATTAATATATCACTCTCGTTAATACGTACGTCTCTTGTTTTAAGGATGAAAATTATTGTTAGCAGACACCTTCAGTAACCAATTACAGACAAGTCTCACTGTCAAGGTCCAAAAAGCCACATCCGAACACGAAGAAGCGATAAAATCTGGCATACTAAGGAACACTCAACAAATCTCATTTGCAGATGATGCGAAAACTATAAACCAGCTAGTATTCCCACTAGTTAATATCTATTGTTAGGAGACGTTCTGAATAACTAGTTACACACAACTGTAACCATCAATGTCCACAAATCAAATTCCAACACGAATAAGCAAGAAATTCTCGAGGAAGCAAAAAACAGATGATGCGGAAACTATAAGCCAGCCAAGATTCCAAGTAGTAAATATCAAATGCGAAAAGTAAACAAACAAAAAGCAGAAACTGGACATTTTATGGAGAAGAAGAAAACATTACGTAACGCGCATACCTTTGTTGAATTAAAAGCAATGAGCAACCAAAGAGTCTGGACGAGAAAAAGGTTGAGAGGAGAAAGAACGTAGCAAGCGTGAGTATAAAATCCTCTTACTGCTGCAGAGAATGCTGATTCTGGAATTTTAATTTTTGAGGAGAAATTTTGATTTGAAAGGTTTGAAGGCTGACTTATACACTTCTGTGATTAGGCGCCCGCGCGCGAGGCCGACTCGGGAAGCGGGACAAAATTAATATAATAATGTATTTATTTTAAAATAAAATATCAAATAAAAAAAATCTGTCAAACAATTTTATTTTATATTATTTTAAAATAACATTAATTAATTATTTCCACTAATGTATAATAATTTAGATATATAATAATCATTTTTAAATTTTTTTTAAATATCGTTTATGATAAAATTAATATAATTATATATATGATAAAATAAAATTTTACTTTTAACTAATTAAAAAAAATTCATTATATAGTTTTAAGTACAATTTAATGAAAGGACTTTATTTTGTTTTATTTAAGAACCATATTAATCCATTACTACTATTTATAAATTATAAGTTAAATATATATAATAACTGTTTATTTATAACCACTAAATAAAAACTATATGACATAGAGATACTCATAATGTTAAAATTTTCATTATTACCATCATGTCAAATTAAACTCAACTATCAGTATACTGAAATTATGGAAAACTTATTTATTAAACTCATCTATTTCATGATAATAATCTTCCAAAATACTTCTACAACTACCTAGGATTTATTTCTTAATATTTTTATAAGCTCATTTACACAAAAACATAAATTACATTTATAAATAAATTAAAATAAATTAATTATATATTTTTACCAAATTTATTAATACCTACTAAACCTTTTTCCCTTAAATAAAAATTCATACCATAACACCAATTTTATAAAAAAAAAAAAAAAAGAAAAATTACAGAATGCAGAATTCGATTTGAATCCAGAGATATAAATAAATTACATAAACCAAGTATCGTTGAAGTATTACTTAAAAACTAAAAGTTAATATATTCATTTTTGCTTTTTTACAAAACTACTTTCAATCTTTCCACTCAAACTCTTCTTGTTTAAAAAGAATATTAGAAAACAAAAAAGAAGAAAATAAAAAGCTCAAAGCACAATTTATTTTCTTCTATTAAACAGAGACGAATTGTACTCTGATTTCTGACCTTCCACACAAACGAGCTTTATTTGTTCTTCGATTTATTAGCTTCCACTTTTTTCTTCCGCTCCTTGAGAAGATTAACATGATCCTTCTTCCGCTTTTGTCCAATCTGATCAGGAGGAAAATAAGTCATATTTGGGCCAAACAAGAAACGAAGTTACTCAATTCCCATGGAGCTTATTTATCCTATTTAATCATTTCATCAACTCTTTTAACTAACGAGTATTTGAAACTCTACTTATGCGGCACTTGTAAGCTGTATAAAAGTCATTAACCAAACACATTTTTGTGCGCTTATTTTCTAATAACTTTTTACTTATTAACATTATAAACTTATATTTCTAATTATTATTCTAATCTAGATATAGAAAACATTTTTAATTTTTCGGGAGTATAAATAGAAAATTAAGCTTGAAAGTAGCTAAGCTCAAAAATTAAGCCAAACAGATTGGCCTCTAACGAGGGTCAAGAAGGTTACCTTCATGGCTTCATAAAGCTTCCTCTTTTTACGTGACATTATAACAGTAGAAATATTTGCTGCATCCTCAGCTATTTGCTCCATATCAGGGGCAGACTCTTCCCTAGCATCAGCATCACCACCGGAGAGCTGTTTTTCATGCGAGGATGAAGGATTAACACCTTGGAGTTCTGACTTCAGTTCATCGAGGTACTGGTTCTCAAGAGCCTTCAACTGCAAGCAAGCAAGATACAAAATAATGTACTTGGCAGAAGTGATGCAGTGCCAATTAACGAAGCAAAATCTGCATTTTATTGTAATCTCTCCCCACTCTTTATCCACTTGAAATTTTGCATACCTTCTGTTTCTTCTCAGCAACTTCAATTGTCTCTGCCCGACTCATGTAACCTTCTGCTAACAAGTTTTGAGGATCCTCCAAATCTTCCTTTCCAAAACCAGGCAGCGGAAGGACTTCATTTTTCGCAGCAGCTTGCAACCGTTTTATAGTTTCTGCGTACTCAGGGACATAACCTTCTGCCTCATTATTGACAAAAGGTGACAAGTGTGGTGGTGGTACACTGTTCATGTGACAATGATGTTAAGAAGTTGGGAACAAATTTAGACACCTGCATAAGCTGCTCATGAAGGTGTTTGGTTCAACTTACTTTTTAGTCCACATGACCTTAAAAATCTCCAACAGCATTTTGAATTTTGTTATGTATTTGGTAAACACAAGGAGCTCAAATTAGACAATTCTTAAGATCTTCTAACAGCATTTTCAGAAAGTTGTTGGGATGTAAGTTTCATTTAAAGAGCTTATAAGCTCCCTACAAAAACATGATGTCAGAACTATATCCCTATACAATATCACCTCCTGTAAAATGTTATTTTTTGTCATTTAGCATATCAGTTTTAAAACCTATAGATTTACAAAATATGTAAACAAATTAATAGTTTATAAGCCCTTGTTAGCCAAAAACCTCAACAACTTACTAGCAAGAAGAAATCTATAAGCACATACATTGTTAAATGGCTTCAAATTCTCAGTCCTATACTGTAAGATGAGCCAGACACCCTTTAAAAAAAAACCTCAAAGACAGAAAAACAATCTACAAAATTGAGCTTTCAAGTTAAATTGCCATATCACCAGGACTGATGATGCCCACAAACAATTATTTTTCTGTCATGAAAAAAACACAGCAAAGACATATGTAAGTACTACAAGTCCTGGCATTGCTAAATTCAAGAACCATTAACTTCAACACAATCTGCACAATTGCTGGACTCGTGAACACAAAAACACCACCTTTCTTTTTTGATCAGTTACCATGTGACAAGGGGTGCCCAATCCAAGGCTAGAACTCCCAGCTCCAGAGGGAGAGGTGAAAGTACTAACCATCTAACTAAACAATGATTTTGTCACAAAAAACTGTTTTCAATATCGAGTTCACAAAATTACCTTCCAACCATGTATTCAGCAGTTGGCAATATGATCCGCGCATTTACACAATCATAAACCCACTGTGGCTGAATATAATCTCTGGAAAGGTACTTATGACCCTGTGTTGGTCTGTCCACAATCTGCAAAAATAGAAAACACCATCACGCCATGATCCTCAAATCAAACAAAATACGAAAATAGTTTTAAAATATAACATGCATATATGATTTTTTTCCAGGCAAACCTGATACGTAATGCTCTCATCGTCTTCCTTAAATGGAGCCCCTTCTCCCTCCCAAGAAACAATACCACCAAAAGCAGGAATAACTAAGAGCAAAGACTCTCTTGGGACCTTTAGATAGAAAAGAATCAAATTACTACAGCAGCAAAGCATTTCCATTTATGTTACCTAATAAGCATTTGAAATAACGAGACAACATCCAGCAAAGACTTCAGATAAAAATAAAAAGCATAACAGTGTAGACTATCCACTTATAATTTCAACAAGTAAACCGACTGTAGCTATTGGAGATGTAACCAACAAAATTTTCTTAAATAACATAAATTAATTGTTTGAAAAAGTTCATCAACTCAACAATTTTAATTCAATCTTTAACTAATGAAAAAAAAAAGAAATTTTGATTTTTACACTTGTTCCATCGATAGGCTAAGACAAAAACAGATATCAGAAACTACGAGGATCTCAGCCCATAAACTTCCATATCCTTTTCCTTGAATGAAAGCATATGATCCATTTCAGCTCATATCAAGTGCTGTGTAACAGAAGATTCAGTGATTTAATACGCTTTCGGTGACACAGAATGCATCGGCAAGAATTTCTAAAACAATAAGTTAATTTTTTATTATCTAAGATGGGCTCAGGAAACGGTTTTGATTTTGATGATGATCCTGGCCAGCACATAAGATGATTAACTCTTATGTTTTTCCAGTGTAGAAAGAGTCCCTTATCCACTTGAGTAACCTTCATGAATTAAATGAGTTTACAGATGATAAGTACCCGCCAGGGACCTTCCTCAACAAGATCCCAAATGCTGATCTACTAGCGACCAGGGTAATCACAACTAGGGTGTTGAGATATTAATTGCAAGTCTGCAATAGACACAAGGGATTTTACTCTCGGGTTACCTACACCAACCAATTTTTCTAATCAACTAAAAGATTTGCAATCTGTATTTCAGTATAAATGCCAACTAAAATAAGTTAGGGTTAATTTTCCAATGATTGCAACTCCTGAAGAAGCTAGCAGAGAATTTATTGCTTTATCAAGATATTGCAACAGCTAGTCAACTCCTTCCAATCAATCAGTTTATTATAGTACTAGAAGGTTTGCAATCTGTATTTCAGTATAAATACCAAATAAAATAAGATAGGTTAATTTTCTGACAATTGCAACTGCTGAAGAAGCTAGCAGATCAGCTATTGTTTTATCAAGTTATCATAACAGCTAGTCAACTCCTACCAATCGATTAGTTTGTTATAGACAGTCAATAACCACAAAAGATGAGAACATATGAATCAATATAATTGGGTAGACCTAGTAAATTGTGTTTGTAAATAACTGGTAGTAACCATATAAGATATCTCTATAACTGGAAAAAAAAAGAAATCATTATGAGCAACTGTCTCACCTCACGGCTCAAGAAGAACTTCATGTTTTTAAAGAATTTCTTACACTCCCTTGTATCATCATCTTCTTCAGCTTCACCAGACTCATCTGCAACAAGGGACATTAATGAACCAGGTTCATTCGAAGGCAGCTGATGCTGTAGCTGAGCAAGTCTTAATTCAGACTCATCTCTCTGGACCTCATCTTGCTCTATTGCTGATGAAGCATCATTTTGAGCTCCTACCATAGAGGTCATAGAGCTAGCATTTAGGTATCTCGACAGTGCATAAAGATCTGCACAGACGAGAAAATAGTAATTTGTTATCTAAAGAATGTCATACAACAAAGTTTCATACAAATAAATCATCAGCACTGCTCAAAGCTGCATATAAATGCAACTTTGAAAGAGAACCCAGACATTTGGCACAACTTTAGAGGCACAGTCATACCTGCTGCCAAAGCTTCCAATCGAGGATCAAGAATGGGTGGATACTTCACATTTAAGGAATGATAGAGCTTAAAATTGACAAAGCCAAGAAGAGTCTGCAGCCAGGTAGGAAGACAAATAAACTAGACGTAATGAGCAAGCAAGACAAATTAAATGGAAAAAGAAAAGCAAAGAAAGTCCCGCATGCAGTATTGGCTACATTTACCAACTAAAAGAATTGCTCAGTAGCTAGTTTCATTAATTGAGCTTTTTGCCAAAAACAAAATTATCATGGGGCCATATTAGGCCTTTATAAGATAGAATGTTTACTCCTAGAATATGTTTACTATTGATTTAAAAGATTTTCTATATATAAAAAATATATATCTTTTTTTAGCTTCTTCAACTATCTTAAATGACAGTAATTCTGTTTGGCACTAAATTACAAGGCAAAAATGAGTAATAATGTTAAAATTTGACAGATATCAAAATATAACCTCATAGAATTCCAAGAAGTTTAACATGACATTGAAGTCAACATCATCTGTCAAAACTTGCTGTAGTGCATGAGGCGTTAACCATGTGATTTTTTGACCCTTTATCTCAGCCTACACATGGACAACACAACATATTATGCCAGAAAATGAACGCAGTCAACTAGATCCACAACCAAATTTAACACCAACAAAAAGTATGCATAGAAGTACCTGATAATATATGCCTTTTACAGAAACAAAAACTTTACGCAATTTATGAGTACGACATATGTATGCTTGCCATTCATGGCTCAACCTGGCACCGAGAGAAAATATAGATTGAAGATGTGAGATTGGAGGAAGCTGATGAGAAATCAGAGAAATATAGCAACACTTGCAAAGATATCCATTTTTATGAGCCTTGTATGGATTTCTTTAATTGAAAAAAAAGGATGTGGACTAACCTTTCGACAATTATGGACGCGCTTAACATCTAATTTTAACCTGTCTAAGGCTGGCAATACCGCAAAAAGGTGAACCATGGTAAGACAATCATCCAAGTCTCTGAGGGCATCAACGAACGTAGGATACCTGGAATGTCAAGCATAATAAACAAAAATAAGAAGATGCCTTTTATATGAATTCACGAGAATGCTGCTTGTGAAAGCAGCTACAAACATAAACATGATTAACAAACCTCTCTCTGATGAGCCTATCTAGCTTATAATTGGGTTGACGACTAAGTAACAAGTGTGCTAGCTCCTCATTCTTCTTTGCCTTGGCTTTATTTATCTTCTTTTGATATGCCCTTATTTCTCTGAACTTCTCAAGTAATGGATCATGTTGAATAAATGCAACATCCTTCACATGATAATAAGTATGATGATTTCCCTTCACCTTCTTTTTTGGCTCACGGGGAAAAACACCTTTAAGAATGCACAGTCTCCTGCAAGCACGAGACTAATCATGAATAGGTAGTTTAAAAAGATCCTATTATTCCTACAGTTAAAACCAATTTAACAGCTAAAAACACATAGTAAACTAAACAAATGATGAAAGAGTTAACAGCTAATGAATTATACGCACACAGAAAAGACAAATGAACTTAATACATGCTTCAAATTGTACAAAAAAATAGCCCATGCTCAAATGCAATGCGATATCCGGATGGGAAATGTACGATTCATCAGCTCCTTGTAGTATCCGAGTGCAACTTTTGTATTAAATAGACCCATGCAGAGGAAATATACTGCAAACCTACCCCTAAAAGAATGAGAATCATGAAAGAAATCCAAGTCTATAAATTACGAAGAAGGCGAAAACCTCCTTGGAACTCATACTTCATGTCCTAGTAAATTTACTCTCTGAACCAAATTAACCAACATGGATACAGTCCCCGGCTTATTTGTAGTATCTTCTTCTGTTACATTTTCTCCGCGCCCAGTACATCATATCCAATCAGAAAAACACTCAGCTAATTTGCATTACAAAACAACATGACTTCTTCTAGATCAATTCCATAGTAATAAAAACCCGGACCACATAAAGTACGGTTACTTTTCAATTCAAATGTACACGTAACGATTACACATATTTAAATATAGGACTAGAGAGATAGACCTGAAAAGGCTAAGATTGACTTGAAGGTGCTTGAGAGCTTGCGACCTGGTCATATACCGTGCAGCAGCTCCTTCCTTCTTCTTACCCTGTAAAATTCCAGAGGAAAAAAAAAAAATCAACGGAGAAAATAGTGAAATATATGAGATGTAACTGCAGTTTGAGGCGTGAAAAAACTGGGAGGCAATACGGTCTCGGATTGAGAAAACTCACCGGTGGTCTGTAATGCTTCGGCTTCGCCATGGTGGCAGAGAAGCTGAAGAGACCGAAAGGGAAACCAACGGAGCTCTGGCGGAGGAATAAATAAGCATTAGGGTTTAAGCGATTTTAGGGCGCACGAGTGACAGGACCCGAGTGCCGGGAGAGGAAGTGGATCGGGTAAAAAAGGGGCCTATTAGACCCGTTAGTGTTCGCGGGCCTGCTCTCCCGCCCAAACCGGCGAATTAAACCTATAATTTTTGCAGGTTTGAACGCGTACATTAATTCCTTAAAAAAAAAAAAACAGGTATTTTAATTGCTGCGTTGGTAAACCAATAAGTCATATTACTAATCCTTAAATTTTCTTTCTGATATTTTTTATCTTGATATTTTCTATTTACTTCGGAAATTTATTTTTTTTTATTTTTTAATAAAAGTATAATAGTTATAATATATTTAACTATTTTTAAAAAATAATTTTTAATTAATTAATTAAAATAATAAATTAATAGCAATAAAAAATATGTCTAATAATATTATTAATTTATTAATCTATTATTTTAATTAATTAGTAAAAATCATTATTTTGAATAATTTTTAAAATATTCAAATATTATTAACCATTTTAATTTTTCGTTATAAAATGAAAATAAACTGAACTCCAATGAACTTTAAAGTCGCCAATTAGAGATGTTCATGCGAGAAGAGTTATAGAGGCGATATAGACTCACAAAATAAAATAAAAAAAAATGACTTAATCAAACATAGAATGGAGGTCAATGAAGAGATGAGTTGAGATGTAACACCCAAATTATTATTTTTATTTTTGTATTTGAATTTTAATTTAATTTTTTATATATTTAATTTATAAGATTTTAATTTAATTTAATGAAAATAAAAATAATAATAATGATAAAATAGGGTAAATTTATTTTTTGGATTTAATTGAAATTGATTTTGAGAAAAATGGGTGAAAATTTGGATTCTGATGGTATTTTTGAAAAGAAAATCCGAAACTGGTGGTCAAAACGCAAATTTAGAAAAATTATGTCATGTCAGCAGCCACGTCAAAAGCCCCGGCCAACCAGGACACGCTGCGTGGCAAGGAAACGCTGACACGGGACGAGCCACGTGGGCGATCTACGTGCGCGCGATCGGACGACTCAGATCCGTTTCCGCGCGCACGGACAGCCCAGATCGCATCGCGATGGACGGTCCAGATTTAATCTTGATGGACGGTTGAGATTAAAAGGCAAATTGTATAAATAATGCCACCCACACCTGACCACAAAACCCTAGCCGCCAATGTCTCGCCGGAGAAGAAGAATCAGATGCCGGAGGAGCCGGCCGCCGCCACCCGCCACCGCACCAAAGAATTTTCTGACCGCCAATCGAGGTAAATTTTCTCCCCCTGTCTCGCTTTTCGATGCTGAATTCGCCTATGGCCAAACCACCGGCCAATCGGCCGAAAAACCCTGCCGAAGTCCAGTGGCGCCGCCGCGGCTTCCCTCTGTTTTTACCTCCGATGAGACCCTTCCCGGTCTCTGTTCGATGCAATTTTTATACCACTGTGATCACCGTTCTTTTCTCTACATGTTGACTGGAGAAAACATCAAAACGCAACTAACGCCGGAGAAGCCGCCGCACCCGAGAGCACCGCCGCTGGTAAGTTTTGGTTTTTCGTGATTTTTTGGCACACCGAGGGCCCTAGGGTTGTTTTATCGCAGGGACCAATGCAAGTTTGGCCAAAAAACAGCCAACTCGAGGCGGATCGTCGCAGCAGGCAGCAGCGCCGTCGGCGGAGCCGCCGTGCTGGAATTTCAATATTGGCCGAAAGGGGCTCTATGTCTGATTTGGGATTTTTTTGGGACATGTGCAGGTACCGGTAGTGCGTTTCAGTTTTCTGAAAAAAATTCAGGGAATCTAATGACAGCCCGTAAGCGCACTGTAAAGTCGATTTCAGACCCCAAAACAAGTAAAGATCTCTCACCCTACCTCCTATCACGACATTAAAGCTTAATAAATAATTAAACGGTATTTTGTGACTTTATAGATATGTATAATTGATTGAGGTTGCCAATATAGCCCGAATCCGATACATTGTTGGTTATTTGTTGGTTGATCTATTTTTCAATATTAAATGCAATATGATATTTGATGTATCTATTTTATGGTCTCGTATGCATGAATCATGGTTTCATTTATTATGGTTTGTGTCATGGTGAACCCGATACTGTGTTGTCTTGTTTGGTGTTAATTACTAGTTTACATGTTGTGTATGATTTGATGATTAAGACCAAAGAAAATGGCAAAGAAGTTATGTGATTTGATAAATGGATAATGTGGACAGTCTGACTAGATATCCTGAGAGATGGTGGACGGACTGGGTCCGTAGGGAACCCTACCGGGAACTTGGTCTCTCATACCGGACGGGGTATAGAGACCTTATGTGTTTTGGCGCCCATACCGGACGGGGTATGGGGACAGCCCGTTTCACCCTCATACTAGACGGGGTATTGAGGTTTATGGTTTTAGCGCCCATACCGGATGGGGTATGAGGACAACCCTGAAATCAGCTTATTAATGTTAATGGTTCGCGTGTAGCAGGGACCCTCTATGGATCCCCATGGATACTAGTAGACTGGTAAAAGATAAAATTTATTGTTTGATTATTGAAGTGTAAAAGTATGACATGTGTTCTGTTACAAAGTCGATATGATTTTATGATGGTTATAATGTTATTGTTTTCGTAAGTTATTTTCATGAATATTAACGAGATAAGTTGACAATAAAGGTTTTTATGTTAATAAATGAGTTTGTTATAAATTATGCTCAATTGGTTGTTTTTGTTTTCAACCGACCTTTACTCCTGTAGCAGTGAGATAGTGTAATGTCTTTATTGGGTTAGTGTAGCTAATTCCTTATTTAACCATTTCAGATCAGGAAGATGGGGTTCCCGAGTCCGTTCCGCATGAAGACAGCGAGTTAGACGCCTAAATACTTTATAGTTATATTTGTAGTTTTTGTTTCGAGTATCTCTTTTAATTAGCTTATTCTTTCATATTTCGAGTACGTTTTGGTTACTGTGTAAATGATGTTAATCAAAAATTTTATTACGCTACCGCATTTAAGATTTTTAATACATACATTTTCATTTAAATTTCGAGGCCGTTACAAATGTAATAACACTTTTTATTTTCGTTTAATTTTCAGTTAAAGAGAGCATTGACCCGTAATTAATGAACACTTAGTCAGATTTTTATTAACTTTGGTTGAAAGTACAATCCATATTACTACTTATATGATAACTGTACTCGTCAACAACATCGATTTACCTCATTCATTATTACTGCTCATGACCATGACTCTCACCATCTCTTACATCCATATCGCCTGTCTTATGGCCACCTCCACCATTCTCATATTCACTTTTCATCATAATAATTATTATTAACTCATATTCGTGCTACCGTTGTCATTACTTTCACAATTAATTTGTTACGACTATTATTATTATTATAATTTATGTTATTGACCTATGTATTGTTGACTTTGTTATTTTTATTAATATTATTATTTATAATGTTATTGTCAAAATTATTGATATTGTTATTAGATGCATAATAAATAGTTATTGCTATTATTAACTATTGACATAAATTAAGAAAAAACGAAATTATAATCGTGCCATATTAAAAATTTATTTACATAGTTACATAATAATCACAAACATAAAAAAACATATTGGAGATTAATATTCAAATTGTTGCTATATCATGCCAAACTATATAAACTTCAATAACATATTATATTTTTATAAAATTTAATAAAAATATAAATGCATTATTTTAAATCTATATAAACTTAAATTTTATTAATTTAAATAATAATTTATAACTTTAATAAAATTATATATAAAATAAATAAATCGTAAACCTTTTTTTAGAAATAAAATATTGAAAAAATAAAAATCTCGCAATAATGACGGAATCAGAAAATCGGATTACTCAAATCCAAAAAATCAGATTATTCATATCCAAAGTAATTTATATTGTGATGGCAATGTACTAAAATTCAGATTTATTTACAATTATAGCTTACTATGATTTATCTATAAATTCCCCCTCCCTCCCAAACACTAACAAAAAATTTAAAACAAACAAGCCCACACAAGTAAAAAACCCCCCGAGGAGCATTTTTACGAAAATGCCACCGCGCGTCAGATGAAAACCCAAATTTGAGAGTTCCCGCCCGCTCAATCGTATACTCTACCGCCAAATTTCGAACAACAAAACCATCCACCGCGTCATTGCTCTTCAATCTCTTCATTATCACTCTCTTCCTTTTCCTATCGGAGGACCCGCTGGTTGCTACCAATGGAGATTCCCAAGGCCCGATCACTCTTCAAAGACGTCAGATCCAGAGAGCTCAATGGCTTTCCAGGTGATTCTCCTCCATATGTAGTTGTATCGGTATGTATATGTGTATATGTATGCGTGTAGTTCTTATCGCTATGTCTGATGATGAGAGTTCATTTTCCTCAGGTTTTTCAGCTAGAAAAAGACCGTATTCTCCCGACCTAGTGGAAGGTTGCTATGAAATCGGGGCGGTGGCCGTTGAACACGAGGGATATGATACGCCACCGTTGGCCGTTTCGTTTTGCAATGTATTGTTTTTCAGAATTTGTTCTCTTGAAATCTGCGTTTTGATGTTAGCATTAGAATTCTTCTATTGATACGTTCTGTAATGTCGCAGACGAGTAAGAATTCCCATATTTTTGCCGTATCTGACGAGGATGGGTTCATGAGCCTGTTCGATTCTCGTAAGAAGTTTCATTGTCGTGCAACTTACGAGGAAAATACAGGTTTGGGTGATTTCCTCTGGAAACACATTTTCGGTTGGATTTTATGCTTATAATTTTTACTTACTTATTTTTTCTAATCGCATCTGTTGATTTTACTTGGATTATGAGCAGAAAGGGCCAGAATAAGTGAATGGCTTGCCCATTCCAATGCCATATTTGATGTTTGCTGGATCAAGGTACTATCATTTTCCTCCTACCTGCAATTTTTCCGGCTACATGATACTTTTTTTTGTTTTGAATTGAGCTTCAGCTGAGATTTGCATAGGGCGATTTACATCTCGTTCCAGTCTGCATTTTAGTACTGCAACTTGCATCTCATTACTTAAATTCCGTAGTAGATTTCAAATGATGTCAACTTCATAAAATATTTTAAAATGATATAATTTATCTTGAACAAGAAATTCACTTGCATTAAATTCATACTGAAATAACTTAAATGCATAGTTTATTTTGCATGAAAAATTTCAATTCATTTATGATAAAACGAAGTTTCGACATTTGTTTTTTTTTCCAAACAAAGCGCAATATTTATGTATAACAAGCGTGGAACGCTGTTGAATATGTTAGTGTTGTCTTTCTCTTTGTTACTTCAATAAAGGTTTTTTGTTTCCCAAAGAAACAAAAATTAGAAAAGGGCGTGGAAAGAGGCCTGAAAAAATTGAACCAAAAGCGTTAAAATTTTGTATTAAATGCTAATCTTGCTTGTATCTCATAATTTACTGCAGGAGGATAACAGCGTTTTAACAGCTTCAGGGGATCAAACAGTAAGTTGTTCGTTTGAAAAAGTTGGAATTTCTTTAGATTCAGCCACGCTAATAGTTAAACTCTTGCTCTGAAATTTGGAATTCGCTACTTGTTAATGATTGATACGGTTGTAGGTTGGTGATATTAACAGGGAATTCTTAATGTTTGATGTTCGTATATGATTTGGTGAAGTGCTTTTAGAAGTCCTGGGGCAGGCATTTTACACTGCAAAGTTAGATGTTCAGTCTGGAATCAAATTACAGCTTTGGTTTCCTTCATTGAAATTTGTCTTATATGTTGGTTTTGTTTCAAATTCCCATTTATGCTTTCTATGTCTAAGATGGATTCTAATCAAAACAATCAACTTCGTTATATGAGAATGATGAGACATGAAATGGAAAATTGAGATAACAAGACAAAGAAAAATTAACTTCCGAAACTGCATTAGCAGCGAGAAGGTAGAGAAGTAGGAAAACCTAAACCGATCCCTGTTTTAGATCCTCAGCGTAGTAATCACTCCTTGGCAATATTCAACAGATAAAAGTGTGGGATGTAGAGAAAAAGAAATGTACCAGCTTGCTGACGGGGCACAGCGGAAGTGTGAAGTCTCTCTATTCTCATCCGACAAATTCTGGCAAGTTTCTTGAAACTTCGACTAATCTGCCATATGTAAATAATCAATTTTTTTTTTTCATCTCAATAACACTCGTTCTGCAGATATTTTTGTCTCTGGTTCTAGAGATGGATCATTTGCTGTGTGGGACTTGAGACACAAGCAAAGTTCGGGCAACAGAAGGGGGTCCTGCACTCCGTGAGTTACTGATCTTTACGTTTAGATACAACTGCGTTTAAGGAAAAACTTGTCCTTGTAATTTGAATTGCTCAGTAATCACTTGTATTCAGTCTTATGCTCTTTTACGTCATCCAGCTTAACTGCCATGGTCAAAGGAGCTCATCTTTCACCTCAAGCAAAGCGGGTTAGGGGGCTCAAGGTTCGCTCAATTATCAAATTCCTCTTTCCAGTTTTACCGTATTCTTTGTTCATGTTTTAAAATTGGCAGGCTGCTTCCATGAGCATTACCTCAGTGCTTTATCTGAAAGATGAAGTTTCCCTTGCCACAGCTGGAGCAGTGGACAGGTAGGTTACTGGCCGTTGCAATGTCCCGTAAAGTTTTTTTTTTTTTTTTAATCCTGTAGTGAACTCTACTTCCCATTAACCTGACTCTTCCTAATATTGTTTCCTTTCAGCATTATAAAGTTTTGGGATGTCAGAAATCTAAAAGCTCCAGTAACTCAGGCATCGCCTCATCCACAGGCATCATCTGACAAGGTTGGTTTTTCCATCGCATAATACTATGTCCTCCAGATGTGTGTTTTCTTGTCAAGATTGATAAGAGGAGCTCGTACTATCCAAGTTTCCTGAGGAAAGTCCGGGGATAGAGTTTTTCCTGCCAAGAAAATTTTAAAATACATACGAATGTAGATGTGGTGGCGCTTAATTATTTTAGAATTGGTTGTCAACCAAGATTATATTAAAATCTGAACTCTTTCTCTAGTGATCTTTATGTATAACGTTTTGGTGGAAATCTGTGAAATAAATTGTCCTAATTGTACGTTTTTCTTCCTGTTCTCAGGGAAGATTACATGGTATATCTTGTCTGTCCCAAGATTCAACTGGAGTATTTCTCACAGCATCGTGCATGGACAATACGTATGTCCTTCCTGTAGATCATTTCTTTTAAAATCTCGTTCCACTGGCATGTATAATGCAGCATAGTTTAGAAAATGTAGTTAGCTACGTTGGGCTCCATGTTGAATGCGCAACACTTGAAAAAATTGTTGTGGGGTTAAAAGCACATGATTCTATAATTCTAACTTTGTGAAGTTTGATGAATCCTAGATATTGAGCGAAATGATGTTGAGCTCGCCTCTTGCTTTAAAGTTTAAGCTATAGGCATGCGCCTAATTTTGATAAAAAGTTGCTCAAGATCTAATTAGATGTTATTCTATATTTTATCAGAATATATTTGTACAATGTCCTTCAGCTTGATAAAGGACCTACACAATCCTTCTTTGGTTGCCGCATAGCGTCATTTTATGTAAAGGTATGTTGCTCTAGAAGAAATATTGCTTTTTATTTCATCATTTCTGAGCATTAACCTCGTTGTTAAACTCATATTTATAATTTTTTATTTGATTTTCTTTATTGTAGTCCGTGATTAGTCCTGATGCAGCTCATATACTTAGTGGTTCCAGTGATGGATATGGTTGCATATGGCAGGTTCAGCTTCTTGTTAAAATAAGAGTTCTTGTTTAGTTGGTCTTGCTCAGTATATAATTTATTTACTTGCGTTAAACCAGCTGAACCGGCCTAAAGCACATCCCATCATCTTAAAAAGTCATGATGGAGAAGTTACAGCAGTTGCATGGTAATTGACCACTTTCCAATAGCATTTTCTTTCATTCTTTCAATTATGCTGCCATTGTTGTAAAAACATGACAATTTTCTTTAAACTACTATAGGTGCCCCACAGATTCTGACAAGCTAGCAACTGCTTCAGATGACTACACGGTAAGAGCCATAATTATCTTTTCTTTAAAATAGATAGTACCACCATGTCTCAGTCATGATGGCTCCAATAACTTTCACCTTTATATCAATTGAAAAACAATCAATTTTTTTCTTTTGGGTTTTGACTATAAAAAGCAATGAAATTAGAACAGCTATTTATTTTTACTCGTAGGCTAAAGGGAGGCGCCATGCAAGCCGAAAACATTTATGTACTTACCTAATATTTGATTATTATTTATATCGTATCCTAAAAACCTGTTTTCATTCTCTTCCAATCTCTATTTATTAGGTTCGGGCATGGAACCTTCGGAGCTCTTATTGCCCAAGAAGCAGGTCCCCGCCGTCCTTTAGACGGAGAATAGCAATTCCAAGTACAGAATGTAAACGAGTGTTGGTGAATGAAGAGCCAGTGGATGCAACAAAGGATCCTGGAAGTTCACATTCTTCAGATAATATTTTTACCCAAAATAGCTTGTCAAGTCCTACGGCAATGCCGGTGATTGGCACCCCTGAAGCCCAAAGGAAAAAGCTTGCTGTTCCTTCTGATTCAACAGAAATCTGTGAGAAAACACCTGAAGCCCCACTCAAGAGTCCATCTTCTGTGCTGAATCCTCCTTCCTCCTTAAAAAGGAGAACAATCCGAGATTATTTTACAGTTGCTTCATGACTGGATTACTCTTGTGGTGACTGCAGGAAGATTATTGTAGACTACATATTTCTCTCTTCCAAGCATACCGTGGATATATCCTTACAGATGGTAAGTTCCCCTGTTCTTGCCTTCAGTTTTACATTTTCTGAATCATACCTTCCTAAACCAAAAAAAAAAAAAAAGGAATTCTAAACTGAACATATTTCTCATTTTTTTCAATTATAATATGTATTGGAGTATTACATATTAAAAAATTTTAAATAAGATTTCGAAATCTATTCTACTGTCCATTTTTTATTCTATTATTATTTATATATATCTTATATTTTTATAGTATTATATTATAATAATAATATTATTGTAATTGAATATTTTATGTTTTATAAAAATATTTTCATTTTTCAAACTCATCTTGTCAACAAAAACATTAAGGCCTTCCTAGAAACCATATGACTTACTATCAAATTGGATTCTAGTTAAATCAGATTTTATTTTTAATATTCTAAACGTGCTTATGTCAAAAAGTGTTGCTTCTAGCATACAAAAAGACAAGTGTTATTAACTTTTTTATTACAGAAAGCAAAAGATGAAAATTTATATATAATCAATATGGTTACTGAGTTTAATTAAGAAAATTTGATTGTGCATACAGAGTTTGACATATAGAAGTAATCTGTATGTCAGTATCAATCTTGATAGTGTTGGCCTCTTGTTTTTGCAGAGTTGTTTTTGTATTCAGCCTGAAAGATGGAAAAGGACCATAGTAGCTCATGGAAAATTTCGTCATACAATTTTTTTTGCCTACTACTTGAGAAAGATTTTTCAAGTAGTTGAGAGATTTTTAGTCATACAAACGAAAACTTTCAAGTAGTTTAGGTGCAAGTTCCTGTATTCTCTAAAGTAACTATTTTGATTGTAAAGAATGGGTTACATATATGGGGGGATTATAGTTTAAAGGAGGGAAAAAGTATATTGGAAGTTTTGTATATATTTTCATCTATGCTTTGGAATTGAGTTACAAGAAGACTGATTGTTCCTTACCATGAATGATTTCAGTTTGAAGCTAGAGCAGCATCCCGTGTTTTAATCACTCAAAGCTCAAAAGATGGTAAAATGCTAGATGCAAATTTATTAGCCTAGTAACCTCAGCTAATAGAGAAACAAAATTAGGTTATAACTTGTGTCTTAATTATATAAGATTAAATCTAAGTTGATAAGAATTTCTTAATGAACTAGTAAAGCCAAATGATTTGACTTTTTTCAAAAATAATGGTTGTACTTTTTGCTTCAAACATTCAAAATAAAAAGTACTATAAATTAATATTCAACATATTAAGTTGATATTATAATTAAAATTATAAATTTATTAATTTTTTTTTTTATAAAAAAAGAATCATATATATTATAAAACATCTGAAATTTTATTTGGATGATGATTCAATAATAATGATTTTTTTTATATAATTTTTTTATTTAATTACGTTTACAAACACATGATATAATTTTTTTATAATTGAGCCATAATTCTCAAAATCATAATTTTTCTCATTTTTTTAAATAACCGATTTAGTTGTTTTATGATGATTTGATAATTTTTTTTTTTATATCCTTAATATTTATTATTATTTACAATATTACCTTTCTTTTTAATTAATTCCACCAAACATTTTTTCTTATATTCTTATTTTTCTTTTTAAAATATTGTATATATATATATATTTTTATATATAAACCTGTATTTGTATGTATAAAACTATTATTGCATAAGACAAAAAGCTCATGAATTTTCACTTGAGAAGAAAAAATTTGCACATAGGCAGCTTTGTAGATTTTATGAATTATATATTTCTCCCCACCATAAAACCAACCGGGGATGTAGCTCAAATGGTAGAGCGCTCGCTTTGCATGCGAGAGGCACAGGGTTCGATCCCCTGCATCTCCAAGTTATTGTTTCCAATTTTTAAGAAGAATTATTAAATTAAATAAAAATACATAAATTTTATTTGAATTCGCAATTTCTTATGAAATAATAAATTTATTTGTTTTTACTATTTAAGGAAAGTGAATAAATTAATTATTTTAATTTTTTTATAAATTTTTTAATCTTTAATTTTTTTAAATATAAATACATAAATTTCAGCAATTAAGTGACGTATATATATTATTTAATAATATAAATCTCTTTATACACATAAAAGTATAGAGTTTATTTAAATTCACAATTTCTTATAAAATAACTGACTTTCAATCATTA